CAATTAATATTTTATAAATATTATTACGTATCATGAGATGAATTGACAATGTTACATGATTTTCGAAGCTTTTTTGGTGGCTCAATTACTAATTATGTTAATGCGGGCCAGATATTAAGTTAATGCTGCCAGATGATATGCTAATGCCGGTCAGATAATTTTATTTTGGGATCATATTAAAAATCCCGCGCGTGCCCATCTCTACCAGTAACACTATGGAACCCAGTAACACTATGGAACCCAGTAATACTATGGAACCCAATAACACCATGGAACCCATGGAACCCAGTAACACCACTATGACCTCGATATACGATTCTTATGATTTGCGTATTTTGGTATATTCGAATTCGTTACATTAGTTATACTATCTCATATTTTTTTTTCTTTTAAGCAATCGATATTTATTAAGGATATTCGTGGAAATAAAGTATGATATCAAATGTAATCAAGGCCAAGGCCAAATAATGCAAAAAAATTTCCCATCCGGAAATATTACAGTTAAAATCAAGTTACCAGTAAAGTAAGTTCGAAGATTTTCAAAGATTATTATTATTAACTACAAAAAATTATTAGCGTTGATTTGAATGAACAGCCGACGTTTAATTTGGATTGCGGTATTCTCGAAATTTCTTTAAAGAAATTGGAACGACAAAAGAAAAAAATCAAAATCTAATTTTTTTTTTTTGTTTTTTGAAATTGTTTTTTTTTTTTTTTCTTGCATGTTTTTTTTTTTCTTTTTTTTGTATGTTTTTTTTTTTTTTTTTTGCATGTTTTTTTTTAACTATTTGGTTTTTAATTTAGTTTAAACTAATTGGTTTTTTTTTTATCAAATTGATATTGATTTCCCAATAATCTAATTTACTTATCGTTATATAAAGCTATTGTTTAACGTGCTTGATTGACCGGGATAAAATTGGGGATGGCTAAAGCCATGTACCCACTTGATTTTGACGTTTTAATCGGCTTAAAATTAAGTATTGATACAAGAAGAGGATAGTGATTTTGGCCGATATGAAAAAATCGGCTAAGCCAAAAATTTTCGGCTTAGCCGGTCGATTTTTTTAAAATCGGCTAATCGATTTTTATTCCCCAAAAATAGAAAATATAATTTACGTGTAATTACACACAAAACAGGATTTTTTTTTTTTTTTGTTGGATACTCTCGGGCACTTAAAAGCTATTATTTCGTGTTACAAATTGCCAAAGATATCCCCGGAATCATAATTTATAACAATTGTTACCGTCAAAAAAAATAAAGTGTACCTTTAAATATTAAAATCATCAGGATCAGTCTGCTACTTTATATATTATTGACATTAGGTATATATTAATCCAATTGTAACAATTAATTGTATAAATTCATTATATCCCATATAAATTATTTTATTCGGTCTATTTAGCTTGTCATATCAGATTCGATATATAAAAATAAGCAGAGATTATACGGTTCTTTCACAATAAAACCGTATAAAATACATATGCTTTAAGTATGGTTTTACTGTGAAAAAACCCTCAAAGAATCTATCATAATCATTATGCCATGGTAGTTAATGCGGTGCACCATCATTTCACTAAGTATATAGGACCGTTATTTTAAAAATAAAAAACGATTAGCAATTAATTAAATAGTCTGCAATTCAAATATAAGAAACTTACCAAATGATAAAATTGGGTAGAATCACGATAGGAACATTAATTATTCATCAACTAATATGTATAGAACACTTCTTTCCTTCGCATATTTATCATTTCATCCAAATAATAGCTTAGTACAAGAAATAAATTTTTTTAGTAATAAATTATATAAATAAAAGATTAAATTTTGCTCTTCGGTAGTACATGAAATTATAACTTAAATATTGCAACATTTCTTGGCACGATTAAATTATTCGTTCTATATATTTATACATTGCTAGTCGTGTTATTAATTTTGAATTAGCAAATTTTTGATTAAAAAAAAAAAAAAAAAAAAAAAAACAAGAAATGATTATATCCCTAAACACTTTTTGAATGGTAATCTTAGGAGTTGTGTTATTTATTTATTTTAAATTTAAGAAATTTGGTCTTTACGCCTACAGACTTCCACCCTGTAAACTACTTTCTTTTTGGACGCGACTGATGTACGCACGAGATACGATATTCCAAGCATCCATATAACGATCCATGCATTTGGCAATACAAGTCTATTAAAAAGAAAAAAAAAAAGATTACAATAAATATAAAGTTCAAAACATGACAATGAAATATAAATAAATAAGTAAATACTTGTTCACTACTTTCTAACTTATAGCCTGGTTTCGTGATACATTTTGAGAAACATTTTTCATTAATTTTCTGTTTAGCAAGATCAAATCGACAAATAAAAATAAATGATCGATCTTTAAATTACTCTCGTATATTGACATTCACGGAAGTATATAAAGAAAATGCTGTGCCTGAAATAACCAATAATAAGCTTCAATTATATGTCGCGTACGTTAATGAGTTCTTGAGCGTTGACAAGTGCTAATTCATTTCTAACTTGGTCCATTACTGCTTGTTTTCGATTTTCCCTAATGCAAGACAATGTCACCCAGTTTATTAGAACACCTTTTTTCCTCTCGACTATAATTACTCTATGACCCTATAGCTATACATACTGGCTATTGGAAGCCATGCCATAATCACTAGAGTAGCTGCTCATTTTATCAATATTTAACGGTGAAAAAAAATCGATAGTGTTAATTGCGATTAGAAATCGTTATCGGCGATTTTTTTTTCACATCTCTTTGTGTAACATCATGTAAGTGTTCCGTACGGACCGGATCGGACGGATATTTAAAAGATCCGGATCCGATCCGAAAATTGAGTCGGCTCAAGTCTTGGATTCTAGACATTGTATTAATCTAAATCTAATACGTATGTGGGATCCTTGCTAGAAAAATAACAATCCAAGACTACATATGTCGATTTTGTAAATAAAAGTTAAGTGGAATTTTTTCTACGTAGGAAAATATCTGTTAATTTTGTAAATAAAATATTTAGTGATTAATTTGAAACTTTTTTTTTTCCTTTGTAGGGCTTAGCGTTGCCAAAAATTTATGTAATATGTATTAATCGTCACAAGGAAATAATTACCGGTACATAGTAATTTTTTTTTTAAATTTTGTTCAATAAATATAGGACATAGTATGTGATAATTAATCATACGTAATTTTGTTGGCAACGTTAGTAGGGCTCAATAAACTTCAAAAAGTTTATCCAAATTAATTACTATCCAAGCATAACCACGATTTCTACTCAGCATTATATGAATTTTTAGGTGGTTTATGAACATTTTTTATTACAGTATATTAATTTATATGTATTTAAACGTAACTGATTTGCTTGGTTTAAGCCAAACCCGTTTGAACTAGTTGGTTTATCGCGTAAAACTTTAAATGACTAGTTTGTAACTTCATAGAAAGACTTTCATATGATTTGCTGTTTAAATCAATTTTTTTTTATACAGTTTAAAGTACTTTTTAAGTAAAATAAAAACTACAAAGAATAAAAAAAAAATAAGTATGATTTTATTAGGACTTTGAATAATCAAAATCCCTTTTATTTTAGAGAAGCTAGCATGATAATAACCTAATTTTATCTATTTTTCAGAAGTCTTTATTATGCTAGTTTCTCTAAAACAAAAAGAGATTTGCTTTCTGGTTACGTAGCAGAAATAATTTTACTAAACTGTTTATATACAGTTTCATGAACTAGTTCATGTAATTAATTGTCTATTTATAATTGATATAGCTCATTTTTAACGGGTTAGCCTGAAATTATTAACATTGAATTTTTTCTTTGCAAATCAACGTGTCAAAACTTTAATTTTTTTACGTATAATTTACACGTGACAGTTTGATCGAGTAGGAACACACTTTTATAACATTATTAAATAAATGGAAAACCAAAAAATTACACGAATATAAAGATAATCCATTTAATCAATTTATTTAGATAGTACTTAGTGAATACATGACCAGAAATTGTAGTAAGTACAAAAGTAGAAAAAAATACATATATAATTTATTATTCCCATCGTAAATATGAGTCTATCACTTTATCAATATTACCGTCATAGGCAAGTAAAAGATTGTATGTCGTCTCAGTATCGGTAAAACCCTAAATGCATTAATAATTAATGAATCTCATTAATAATTAATAAATTACATTACATTATAATTTGTAAATGTAAATTCAAAACAAAATCTTTAAACTTACCATTTCAGCTAATTTAGAAATTTCCTCTTGGTATTTTAATTCTTCTGTCGGTTCATCTTTAAAATCATCATAAACACTGGTGTTATCTCCACAAGAAGACATAACTAGTGAATTAGGGATCGAGGATCTCACCTCAGAATTTATAAAACTATTTTCCATCTCATCATCATCAGAATCTTTATCGACAACAATAAAATCTTGGGAAGAATCAGAAACGATAGATGAAGTATCAGATTCATCATCATCAGAATTAAAAAGTTCAGAATTTAATTCCGAAGTACTTTCGAGATCTACGATCCCGGTTTGTAATTCAGTAACGGTAGGTTTAACTAAATTTTGAAGTGGTGCATTGTCATCATCTTCGGCAGTAGAAACTGGGGATTGAATAGAACCAGATGCAGATTGGGATAACTTTTGATCATAATTCAAAACCGGGAAAATCATTGAGGAAGACATGCTCGATGATTGGTCATCGGCTTCAACGTTAATTTCACACCAAATCTTATGTCCAAATACATTTCCTTCATTATCAGTCAAACTCCAAAATCTAAAATTATGTATAATAATCAATTAATTGAAAAAAAGAAGAAAAAAAAAAAACACGATAACAAAATAAATATATGAAATTTACGAGGTGTATTTTCCAGGCTCAGTAGGAGCTTGAAGGTCTACAGATACATAAACGCTTTTGCCAGGTTCTAATGAACCAACAACGGAACCAAAATCATCTTTTTGATCAGATCGCAATGCATCATTAAACATGCGTTGGCCACCAACGAATCGTAACGTAGTATTTTCAGGCCACTAAAATAAAATAAATAAAGAAATAAATAAATAAATAAAGTTGATAAATTATAAAAATTGATAAATTATAAAAATTGATAAATTATAAAAATTGATAAATTATAAAAATTGATAAATTATAAAAATGTAAAATAAACAAATTATATAATTATATAATTTGAATTATTAAAAGCTTACAGCAACTTCACCATCATTAGACATGATCCACATCTTGCGGAATTGAGCCTGAGGAGCCAAAATAGTGCCATCAGGAACGTTAGCATCACTAATAAATTTGGCACTTATCCTTTTTTCAGTGAGGGTTTCTACGGAAATCTTGAATGGAACATCGCAAACTTCATCTTGAGAGATCATGGTTGTTACATTTGATAAAGGTGGAGAAGGAGTGACTTGAGTAGTATGAGTTTGAATTGTTTCTTTTTCAAGCTTTTCGGGGGACGATGATGAAACGATTGGTTTAGCCCCTAGAGTATAATTATATAAATCGACTGGAGCACGGCTGATTACCTTTTCACTACTGAATAAGTAGATTAAATAAGAGAAACGTTAGTTTCTAATTAGCAGTAAATGTAAATTACTGTATAAAAATGAACTTACGTAGAATCTTCAGTATTAATTGGTCTGATTAAAGGAATGAAAGGATTTGAGCTCGAAGCATCAGAGTTAGAATTGACCAAAGAAGTTTGTCTCGGTACAGATTCCATCTCTTTATGAACATTATTTGATTGAGAAGACTGTTTACAATCTTTAAAACGACCGGTTTTTTGTTCAACTTTCGAATAAAAATCATGTAATAATGGTTTATCTGTTCGAAGTCTTTGTGAAACGGGTTTTTTGATCTTTATGAAAACATGATTTTCATCATGCTTGCTGATGGGATTCGCTTCACAATTTCCACACAAATCAAAGTCAAGACAATTGCCACACTAATAAAAATGGAGTTTATTAGAATATTTGGACGTTATAGTATTCTAGATGGTATTAAACAAATTTAAAATTTTTTAGTACCTTATATCTAACACCATTGATAGCTTTCCTACAACCATCGCATCTAATTCCAGGGTGGAACGCAGAATCTGTAAGAGAATCGTAATAATAAAATATAATAGAAACATTTATTGTCAATAATGTCAAAACTATATTATAGTTATTATTACAGATAATAAATTACAATAACAATACCTGGAATCTTAATTTCAGGATCACCAGCTCTATGAATTTTCATAAAAGTGTGACCCGGATGTTGAGTTGGGGCAAGGGCTAATAATAAGGTTAAAAAATAAAAATAAAAAATAAAAAGAGAGAGAGAGAGAAGGGAAATAATTAGTTAACAGATAATATAAGCCGTACAAAATGATTGGGCCATGGTCTAATGTTAAAATGTCAACATTTATTTTTTACGTACCAATGCAGTTGTTGCATAAATCAAAATCTGGACAATTGATGCATTTATGACGAATGCCTATGATTACAGACTCACAATAGTCACAAGTGGCAGAGTGATAGTTGGTCCCTAATTAATTAATTAAAGAAAACAAAGTGATTAAAGTTATAAAAAAAAATTAGATCATAATTAGGGCACACATTATAAACTTACCAACTCTACTGAGATTTGCGGATGAACGATGATGACGATGATGACGATTTCTTACAGGATATGGGATAGATGTGAAAGATCGATGTTCATGTACACTTGGAGATTGGTTTTTGCAAGTTTGACAGAGATCATAGTTTGAACAGTTATTGCATTTCCAGCGCGTGCCACGAATCATTGCCTTACACCAGTCACACATAACATCATCATGAATAATGGAATCAGCTACATAATCAATAAAACGTAAATATAAAGAGGGAAATATTAAGAGTGAAACTAAAAAATATCAAGTTATTACCTGAAGAAGCCCGTGATTCTTGTGTTTGTACATGACGAGTTTCACTAGTCTTTGATGAATTTGATGAGTTGGTAGCATCATTTGTAACTTGAGTAGACTCAACAATATTTGAAGATTGGGATTGCGTGGATCTTCTCAAACTTAGATCTAATGAATCCCTTACAAACTCTTTTTCAAAAGTATTGCTAACTTGAGTAACAATGTTCTGTACTATGTCTTGTAAATTTTTGATTCCCGGATTTAGTACACTTTCGAACAGATATTCATGGAAATCATTGTAGCTTGCATTTGACTCGTTGGAGGTTGGTACTTTGTCTTAAAGGAACCAAAAACCGGAAATGAGACCTCCAACGATGAGATATGTAATAAAACTACAATGTACTTAAGTCTAATACATACCTGGATCAGTATCGGAGGAGCTATGATCAGGTAGACTAGGAAGTTCCTTATTGATAAGGGAAGGTTTTAGTTCTTCCAAAGTCAACCAGATAACAAGACGAGGACTGTCCTTAGAAAGGGCCCTATTATGTTCTATGGCTTCTCGTAAGTCATGGTCATTATCAATAGTAATTGTGTCTTCGTCCTCATCCGTATAACGAATTTTGAATGTATTGGTCTTGTGAATTTGAGACAACTAGACATAACGAACAGTTGTAAAGATTCATAAGGGAATAGTGAATTTTTATGATTCCATAACAGCAGCATGCAAAGCAGGCATTCCGTAAGTTTACAATACCTTTGAGTGTAAAGCTTGAAAAGAAACGTCAGCTATCTTTGGAAACGTAAGGCGACGCAGTACTGCGGGCTCGTTAGAGCAAGTCACCTTAAAGATAACCGGAGTATTGGAATCCATTGCAAAGTTATATGATATTTTTTTTTGATTTTTTTTTTTTTTTTAATAAAAAAAATATATATACAAAAGAGAAAGAAAATAAGACAGAAAACAATAAAGAATAATAGAAAATAAATAACGCAAGAGAGGACACAGATAGTGAAAGAGAAAATCAGTTAAAAATGATAGCTTTTATAAAGAAATTTAGTCAAAGAGTGTACAATTGCAAATACTACCAAAAGAAGTATTCAAAGGGAACAATTGGCCAAGTAATCGAGGCTTATATCGGCCACGTAAGTACGTACTTAGCTCACATGTTAATTTGATGACGAATATCTTGCGTTTTAGTTTATTCTCGAATATTAACGTTAATGTTAATTTTGATGAATAATCTGAATACAAGGAATTTAACATCCGTGATGTTACAGTATCCCTGAATCCTATAACTGTAACTGTATAACGATAAATCAACAGATACTGATTACACACTAATATATTGATAAAGCCTATTTTATTAAAGAGAGGTAACAAAAGTGTGAGTGTGCAGATCATCATATTCACGTGATTAAAGAAAATTAGATCATATTTAAACTTTATTTATCGTTATAATATTTTTTGTAACACGTCTTAGTTTTTTTACAGTCGCGTTTATAGTCCAGCGATTGAAAAATTTATGTATTTTGATTGGTTAATTATCACGGGAAATCACAGTAGATCTACAAAAATCACATTTTAATATTTTCGACATACTATACTATGGTTGTCAAAAATCATTTTCGCCATTTAAATTTACGCCAAGAACAAAATATTTTCGACACCCATGTATAGCCAAGAAGACACAGAATGCCTTAGATATGAAAGTGAACGTCGTCTTAAAGCAGCCTGGGCTAATATAATCAAACGATATCAAAACGTGTCTAACAATGAGACAGACGAGATCGATTTAAGATCTCAAACAGTTGTTATTGACCGAGGGGTCATACAAAACTACAACGAGCATAAACTGGGAACGCACTTTTCAAACGTGCCTATAGAAGATGCGGACGATGATACCGTTTGGCTATTGGATTCCTCGTCTAAAAACAAAGTTGAGAATGTGAATAACAATGTGAATAACAATGTGAATAACAATGTGAATAGCAATGAGATTACGAATAAATCAAATAATAGTTCATTAGACGTCAGCGACAAAAATACGGCTGATCTTAACAAGAATGTAAATACTTCACTAAAACTCGATAATAATGTTAATACACAAACGAACACTCGGAGACAGATTCAGCTATATTCTATGTCAAAGTCGCCTCTTCCAGTCCATACAGCGAAAATAAATTCAAAAGTGAGGCGACTTCAACTATATTCTATGTCAAAGTCGCCTCTTCCAGTCCATACAGCGAAAATAAATTCAAAAGTGAGGCGACTTCAACTTTATTCCACAGTCGAATCAGGATCCGAAAGTTCCGATTAGAGTTTAGAACCGGGTTATAGTAAACCGGGTCACCCGTGTCAAAACGGTTCAACCGGGTCGAAAATTTACAACTCGGGTCAAAACGGTTGAATATGTAACCTCTAACAATAATACACAGAAAACATAACAAAATTTAACACATTATAATTGTATTGTGAATAAACACCCTTTTTCTCTTACTAATT